GAAAGAGATAGAAATTACTTTGTCTGCTTGGAAGTATGTATGACGTCATAGACCCGCCTAGAAGAAAACACAACACTGAACTTTGTCCTTGAAAGAGTTTTAGAGATATTATCCATCATGTTTTTGTGAAAGAGGCTGCTTCAGACTAAGGTTTTGTCATTACCAAGACTTTTGAAAGTGTTACAATTTTCCAGAGATGATTATCTCTAGATTTTATTATCAGGTGTTTTCTATCACAGAACATCAGGTTGTTTGAAGCTTTTCTTGAGAACAAATTTCTCATATTCCTGTCCTAATTTCTGCTAGAGTTCAGCTTTGATTTGAAATGCCACTTTTTGAGAACCTAATTTTCAGAAGACAGTATTTCTTCGAGACGTTTTCAAGTACAGTTCTAAAAGTAAAGATCTTTGTTGCTAGATATTCAGGCATGTATCTTTACAGTGATTCTGTAAGAAGATAACGAAGACATACTTGTGATGGTGAGTACAAAGTGCGGAGGTATAAATTCCAAGTGACCTGACTTTTGCAAGCTTGCCAAAGATTTTTAAAAAGTAGAACTCCATGTAGACAAAAAGTGCATGTGTATACCCATGGTGTTTCTCAAAATGCATGCTTCAGTGCAGCTTTTGTCTCGTGCAATGCGATATTTTTCAAATGTCTCTTAGATGCATTTTTTCGTTCTTATTTCAGAAACGGAGAAAAGTGATCGTGAACCAGGCAGAAATAACAACTATCTACGAAATGTTTTGAAGACTGTTCCTTCTTTAACTAAAGAACTACGCATTGTTTTGGAGCAAACCCTGGAGGAGAAGCTGGACTACTTAGGAATTAAACCAGTAAGATTAGTTTGATTTCGTTAAGAGAGGGGTAATCTTTGTCCCACTTTTTTTGCTATTCTCTTTCACTTTTGTACCACAACCCTCAACCTGTACAATCCAAAGCTAAATTTCCACGTGTTAGAGGTAAGTGTAATTCATTAACCTGAGAGGATGTCCATCAGATTACAGCTGTGGAGGATACAGCTACGCCTGTGAGAAGCAGTACCAACTTTTGTGATATCTGAAGTTTAAAAGAGCGTACATGACTGTAAGATACAAATCTCAGAAATAATAGCCCCTATGTTTTCAATACCACATCTTTCCTCAGGGTGTTCGTGGCATCCCCAATGATCACTTACACAAAATTCTGCGTGCCATTGCCTCTGCTCGGGAGAGCAAAGAGAAGCAGGAGCCGGACATCCGCCGCATCCGAGAGCATCTCCAGCGCCAAGTCTGCTGCATGGCTGAAGAGAAATCTGCATCTTGTGGTAGCAATAGACCTGTTTCCTGGCCTCAGCTTCCTTCAGAAGGTTAAAATGGTTTTGTCTGGTTTTCTTCTCTTAGGTTTTATAACCTCCATTTAGGGTTTTATTTAGCGACACTCCTGTGTAGCTGCTTTTGTAATTTTTTGTATGAATATTCTATCTGGTTATGGCCAACTAATAGGTTTTTTTTTAAAAGGTTCTTGATGTTGTGTCTAACTGCAGAAACGTTAGCTCCTGCATTGGCAATACAAGTGGTAACTGAACTGCTTTGAAGAAAAAAAATAGCTTTTCCTCTTCTTTTTTGTAAACTATAATGTGCAGCAGAGACATCTTTAATTCTAGAAAATTAAACATAGAAGATACCATTGTTTCTTATAATGAGATAGAGAACTTCTCTTGTAGAGAAACAGAAGTTCAGTCAATTGGGAATTTCCTCATCTGCCACACCACAAAAAGAAGTGAGAAGGTCTTCAACAACTGTCCGCCCAGCTGAACAGAAAACTGTCATCCCTGTGGCTACATCCACAGCAAAGTAAGAGATGCTCTTCTCCTAGTGCCCATACCTCGGGTCACAGTCCCAGGGGTTTGGGGTTTTGGGACTGGTGTGAACATTTCCTGCTACTATTGTAAGAACTGAGCAAAGAACTCACATGACTTCTATATAAGCTTTATGCTTACTTAGTTGACTGTCAGTCTGGAAATAACTTGTCTTGTTATTTTTCGATCCAGGAAACTTTTTGAAAATGAAGTTTCCAGAGAGACGTCGAGCCTCACGTACGTTGTGTTCACTTGTATTGTTGGAGAAAACGTGCTTTGGTGACAGAATATTCCCATGCTTGCCACACAGAAGCTGTTTTTAAGCTAAAATTAGAAAAGCTTCCCAGACTGCATGTGTAATATTTTGTTTTAAAGTAGTTTTCCATTTGAGTGTGTTATTATACTCTCTGCAAGATAGCATGTTCTCCTTTCAGCAGATGTATTCTTAGTTGTGAACTAGAGGGACATTCAATAAAATTAGGTAGCATCACTTCCTTTGGTTTCATTCTCAGATGCTTTTGCTGACCCAGTTAAAAGCATTTAAAGACTTTGGTGACACAATCTCTGCAGTTTACTGATATTTTCTTTCTTTGGCAAAAATGAAACACAGTATTACAAATTCTACTCACATCGGGTATATTTTAGTGTAGGAAATTACAAAGTAAAATTCCTGCCTTATTTTCATCTAACAGTGTCAGAACAGACTTCCTGAGGTGCAGATCCCTTGATCCTGAACTTTGCTCTCCGTGGTGATCCATGAAAGCCCGTCTTTGCATGGCAGGACTTGATATGTATTGGTTTGTTGTTTTGTGAAGATAGTGGCATAGATGGAAATAGTCATGTCTTATTATATAAGAGATAATTTTGTGATAACTTTCCAAGTTCACTCAGCAACGGGATTTCTTTTCAATAACTGTATGGAGAATTAAAATGTATGGGAGCTTCTGGTTTTTTTTTTCATGTAAGAAAAAATGCGTGTTATTGGAAAGGAAACAACAAGGAAGCTTAAATATGTATATAGCAACACAGTCACTGAAAGCCAGTAAGTCCTCGGGTTGTATGTGTTTTTGTTTAGAACTTCCCCGTTCAGTTCAGAGGACGAAGCAGACGAAGACACTAAACCTCTATACACATCACCAGAGTTAGTGCAGAAGCAGTCAAGACCATCAAGCAGCAAAGTCAGCGCTTTTCAGAGGGCTTCTGGCAAAAGCACTATGGATGGGATGGAGGGAAGTGAAATGGAAAAATCTGGAACAACTGCCAAGACTTCAAAAGGTTTTCTCATCACTTTAGTATATGCATGTTGTAACAACAGTGCTTGATTTCACATTTCCTGGTCATATTTCTGTGTTAGAAAGCAGAAAAGGCAGACTGGCTGGTCTTCAGGGTACACATATTGGTGTGCACCGTGTGTTTTTGCTAATAGAATAGTACTTTAACTTAACTTAGTATTTAATTTTACTAGTATCTGATTTTAATATAGTACTTAAAGATGTCAGTTAAAATTAGACATGTATCATGCTGTTTTCTATAAATGCAGAAAAAGAGACAATCTCTGCCTCAGAGAGACTCCTTTTACTAACTTTTACTTTGTGGAAGTTTTCTGGAGGGTTTATATAGTAGTTTATATTCCCTTACTAGTGAATGGAAACGGTCAATACTATTTTTTTATCAACTTTAGGGACAGTTATTCAAAAACTGAGTAAACAAGTTGGGAAGAGTCTTTCTAAGCATGGAAATAAGAACAAACCAGCTGGAGGGATTCATGTTGCACAGGCGTTTGTTAAGGAAGAAGAGGTGAAAGATCTGAAGGTATAATTTTTCATTGCCATTATTATTTCATTAAGTAGTTATACTTCTCCGACATAGATGTTTGGGTTTGGTTTGTTTTTTTGGATGCTGAAACCATTGTGACACAGTGAAGAATTTAATTCTCAAAGACAGTTTTGGAGTTACAGCTAAGTAGTTTATTTGGGTACGTCTGCACTGGTATATAGAAAAGTGTTAGCAAATGAGCTCTGCCCATGACCCCTTCATCCACATGGCTTTTTAGCTTATACCATGACTGGTTTGGAGCACTGCAGCAGGCCCAAAGCTCAGGCACAACTGGTGTAATTTTTGTCTCCTTTTCCAGCAGCATAGAGACAGCCCTTCTTTACTTGCTTTACTAGTACCTTGTTTTGATGGAGGAAAAAATTAATTTGGCCAGGGTGATTCCTGGTGTCAATACAGGCTGGGAGATGAGGAGATTGAGAGCAGCCCTGTGGAAGAACTGGGTGGTACTGGTGGAGGAAAAGCTTGACATGGGTTGGCAGTGTGCACTCCCAGCCCAGAAGACCACCTATATCCTGGGCTGCACTAAAAGAAGTGTGGCTAGCAGGTCAAAGGAGGTGATTCTTCCCCTCTACTCCACTCTGGTGAGACCACACCTGGAGTACTGTGTCCAGCTCTGGAGTCCTCAGCACAAGAAGGAGGACATGGACCTGTTGGAGTAGGTCCAGAGGAGGGCCACGAAAATTATCAGAGGGCTGTAGCATCTCCTATGAAGAAAGGCTAAGAGAGTTGGGATGGTTCAGCCTGGAGGAGAGAAAGCTTCAGTGAGATCTCATTGCAGACCTTCAAAATATAAGGGGGACTACATGAAAGATGGACAAAGACTTTTTCCCAAGGCCTGTAGTGAGAGAACAAGGGCCAATGGTTTTGAATTGAAAGAGGGTAGGTTCAGAGTGCATATAAGGAAGGAAGTTTTTATAACAAAGGTGGTGAGGCACTGGAACAGGTTGCCTAGCAAAGCTGTGGCTGCTCCATCATTGGGAGTGTTCAAGTTCAGGTGGAACAGGGCTTTGAGCAACCTCATCTAGTTAAAGTTATCCCTGTTTACTGCAGGTAGGTTCAAATAGATGGTCTCTGAAGGTCTCTTACAACACAAAGCATTCTATGAAAAATATTTTTGCTATAATTAACTTGGAATACATCTTGTCCCTGATGTACTAACACAGTGGCATGTTCCTGTATGGACATGAGTTTGAAATGAGTTTATGGACCCAGGACAGGCACTGCTACTTTGCTTTTGGAATCTTTACAGAGCAACACACCATCTGGATTCTTTGCTCATTCTATGTGAAAGTGCTATATTTGTATGTTTAACTGTAGAAATATAGTTCAAGTTAATTGTCTAAATTTTTAGGTGGCATTTTCAAAGTTGCTCAAATGCATAAGCACAAAATGGCACTGGAATGGTGGGTTCCTTGAAAAGCCAACTTTTTATAGCTCAGATACTAAGAGCTTAAATGCTTAGAGCTGCTAAGGGTCATTCTCAAAACCCCCAATACCATAACACCTTTGTAAGGCATCCCATCATCATGTGTTTCATAAAGGTCATGTTTCACAGAAGTTATTTAAGAGAAAATTAATTTCTTGCTTACCTGAAGCTGTATTGCCCAAATTCATCTTCACCAGGCACTGTGTGGATTGTGGTAATTCTTTGGAGTAAGTCTTTGAGTTAATAAAACTGCTTAGCAGTTTTGATGGGTGCTGTGTGTTTCCACTAGATGAAAACTGAATTCTCTTTGAAGTTTTCATTTTTCTCTGTATTCTGTGCTTGAAAAATCACTTGGGACTCAGTGAATGTTTGAAGAATCTCTTCCTCCAGCATTTCTTGGTACATGGAACTGACTTTCCCATTGCCACGCCCTCCAAATGCAGATAACTTACAACAGCAAAATGCTGAATCCTGGTATGTTAATAATGCAGCCCACTGAGCAGATCTGTCAGTTTTTGAAAAAGAGTCTGCAAGGCTAAAATTAAATTCTGTTGCAAGATGGAGCATTGCTGCTGTCTCTTCCCTCCTGTCCAGACACATGGCGCGTTCCTATTTGGTTTTGCTCCCGTATGTACATACCTTACATTGTTTTCTAGTAGCAGCTGAATCTGTCCTCAGTGCAGTGGAAGCACCTTCTCTGTCTTACTGTAAGGTTAAGAGGCTCCAGTGAAATAAGGTTTTAGCTTTGTGAGAAGCCACCTTTCACCTGCCACAGGTAAGCTCTCTAATAATGGTTTGGTTCCATCGGATCCCATCTGACTGACAAATAGGGAAATGCTGTAGCTCCTCTTTCAAAAGCTGAATGAAGATAGTGAGCTCACAGGCAGATGAGGTAAGAAAGACCAGGGACTTGCTGCCTTCACCAAGTCCCTCTGTTTGACCTGACTTCAATTTTGTGAACTTATGATGCAGATCCACCACTTAATTAAAAATACACTTGTCCATGCTGACAGCAAGTCTGAAAAAGAATATCTATTTTAACTTTGAGTAGCATGTGTTTCACTTCTATGATTTCTTTTTCTCTTTAAATAAATCAGGTTTAAATTGAAAAGGCTTTTATTGCAATATTAAATTTTTCTGGTGGGAATACAGAATGCTTATATAGGAAACTAAACTGTCAGCTTGTCTGCTAACATGTCATGTCTTTATTTTCATGTCAGTAGTATGTGTTCTAATGTTTAAAGCACTTTCCATCTCATTGGCATAGCTGATATCCCAGAACAGACAATCCTGTCTTAAGTTAGATGTGTAAAATGTGAAAACGTAGGTTTTTAACTTTTGCAGTTCCTGACTTAAAAAAAACTCCCCACTTTTAGCTTTTGAACGACAATAGTGAATGAATATAATTTATGAAAATGAATGATGTGGATTTTAAAACTGGAGATTTATGTCATAAAGGCCACACACATTTTTCTTTAGCAGTTTCACCTTGTGGAGTTTATGGAAGATCTCAGCACAACTTTAACAGAGAGAGGGAAAGTGAGTGTTTTTTTTCTTCTCCCCGTCAGTTCACAGAAATGGATGAAGATGATTGGGATCTATCATCAGCAGAAGACCTTTTACCAGTGAAAGATGATAAAGGCCAGAAGGCACTGACAGCTCAGAAATCAGAGTCAACAAATGCTGCATCTGTGGTACATGGATGGGGTCCTCCAAAGACAAGTGTACCAAAGGAGGAAGGTAACACATTCATACTGCCACATTGTCAGTCAGTCCTTCAGCGACTGACACAACCAGAGGAGAAATTTTGTGTAGCGTGCTACACACTCTGGTTCAACATAGGATATTCTGGAAGAAAAGAAAAAGTAAGAAAAAGAGTGTGCTTGGTTTCCTGATATAAATATTGTATTTACGATACATACGTACTCGTAAATAACACACACATGTAAATATACAGAGATGCCAAGAAAGTCAAATCTGAGATTTTAAAACACATAGTACTATCAGGCCTTGTGTGAAGTGAGTTCACACAAAGTCACAAACAGCCTGACCCGGTGCCCCTTCGGTACCAGATTTTCACAGGCTTCAACCTCATATTAAAAATTATTGGGGATGATTTTTTTTTTTTTAATTCTTTCTCAGATTTAAGGGAGGAGGGAATCTTTGTTAATTTGTCTTCAGAATAATAAGTTGTTAATAATAATAAAGTTTCAGGTTTGTTCAAGATATCTAAGTGACCTCCCAGGCTGAGATAAATATTTAACTCTTGGCAAAGCGATAGCCTCAGTCTTACCTTAAACTTACATAATAGTTTCTAGCCCTAACATTTCAAAATGCATACAGCTTAAAGCTGTGCCAGTTATTTGAAGATACGTCAGGTTATTTTTAAAGGGAAAGTAACATTGACACTGACAACTTGTGCTGTGCATTGCATTCTGTGGCAGAAACAGCCTTCATGTTATCAACACTTGTCATTTTCTCACTGGGAGAAGCTCTGGACTTCCTGAAGTCCACGAGTGTTTGCTCACATAGATAGCATATGATTTTATCTCATGGATAAAAACAAAGTAAAAATACCTCCAAACTAGTACTAATAATTGTTCATACTTTTTTGTTGTTTTAACAGGCCTTCAGGAAGGTGATAATACAAGCACGTTAAAAAGCAGCTTAGTCACTGTAACAGACTGGAGTGATTCTTCAGATATATAATGGTTGTGCTCCTGGTGGGAGGCACTCCTCTCGGCTCCTCTGGGGGTTGAAAATGTCACTGAAAACATCAGTTGTTTCTTACTCGTTTCTCATGTTGGTCACCTAATAACAAGGAATGCTGTTTACAGAGCTCTCGTCTCTTAGTCCCGAATTTGAAACAAGAATATTCACACAGACGTCCCTGGCTGTGTCTGCTTGGGGACTGAGAGTTAATTCTTCCTTCTCGTGAATTCAGTGGTCAACGTTTCTTTGGTTTCACTGAGGTGAAGATTTTGCCTCTAATGTTTACATTAAAGACTGAAACTGGTCTTGCAAGAAAGGCTGTTTCATCAAAACATTCATTCTCTAAATCAACAGACTTTAACACAGATTTTTACTTTATAAAATTTTCAAATGCATATTTTCTTGTATTTTGTTATTTTTTATATAAAACATTGTGAATATTTTAAAGAAAATATTTCCGTTTATTAAAATGTTAAGTTTCTACCATGGTTTACAATAAACACCAAATTAAAAGAAGAAAAGGCCTCAGCTATTTTTTAAAGAAATTCTTAAGAAATGCTTCCTATTTACGGAAGGTATTGGAGTTTTTTTGTGTTCGAGTTGAGTCTTACTTAATATAAAAGTACAAAAATTGAAAAAAAAAAAATTAAAACATCAAGCTAAAGTGAGGGAAGTACTGACCTGCTACTCTGGAAGTACTTTTGTATTTCTGTTTTGGCCATATTGCCTGCTTTCTTAAAAAAAAAATCACAATAGTGTTTTGACTTAAATAGAAAAATAAAGTAAAATTAAAAAAAGCTCGAATGGCTTTGTAATTAGGATGTATTTTAGATGGTGATGAAGACAAACCCTTTTCTTTCATTTGGATCCATTATTAAATATGAAACTGGTTCTTTAATATTTGCACCTTTGTCCTAAATAACCAATGTATTGAAACTCCAGGAAGAGTCTTGTCAGTTCAGACCTCAAGACAGACCTGAGTTTGTGGCTGAGTTTTAGGGCCTCGGTCTAGGAAGCATTTTGTGGTTATTCATACCTTCTGGTCTCATTCATTGACTCGTCGTGCTGTACTCCCTCAAAAGCCATCACGCGTCTATAGACAGGTTAAAAAAGGAGAAAACTATGAGCTGGATCTTTGAACTGCTGCAACTAATTTGGGGTTATCTAAAATGCTGCTGTTCCGTAGTGGCTGCTTTTCTTTGGTCAGCCCTGCAGGAGTGTCCTCGGCCTGGGGTTTCTCCTTCCCAACCTGGTGGCTTGTCCCCCTGCTGGAGCCAGCGGTGTCCCAGCGCCCTGCGCAGCCGAGGGTTCGAAACCAGCCCCCCGGGCACCTTGTCAGCAGCCGGGTTGGGTGCCGAGGCCGGGCAGGAGCCCAGGGCACAAAGCCAAGGCGGGAGCCCCCGCTATGGGCTGCGGCCTCGCTCTGCCTCTGCCCTCCCCGCCACCCGCACGGGCTCGCGGTCACGCGCGTGTTCTCCAGGCAGGGCCCTCTCCAGTCACTGCGTTTGCCTAACTGACCCCCCTTCTTCTTAGCACCTGCTCCTGCCTCCCCAGCTCCCACACTTGCCTTCGCTTCACCCGGTCTCCCCTTATTCCTATGGCAGCAAATTGACCAAGTTGCAAGTTCTTCCACCCCTGCAATGTGGTTAAAGTGCCCGCTGATTGCCACTGGGGGTCATCCCCTGGTGCTGCCCGTACCGTGTGCTCCACAATTCCAGTGTTGGGGCTCATCAGTGGTGAGATGCTTTATGTATTAACCTGCCTGGAGCACGGCCCCTTTGTCCAGCCCTGAGCTTGGCTCAAAAGTGGTTGTACTGACACGCTGCATTCAATGGGAAGCCACTGACGTCCTGAATTGGTAAGTACCTCATTTATTTTTTTTCAAGAGAGCAACATCAGCTCATGATTTCCAGGTATAAACTTTACAATACCAACATCAATCTTAAAATATTAGATAATAAAATTTACATCAATATGTAAAAACCTGCAAGTTAAAGGTTTAAAAAGTCATTGTCTTAGTGGTAAGTACATTAGGGTGGAGGGGAGAAATCACTCTGGATGAAACGTACAAACTCATTTTTCAAACGCTTTGAATCTTCCAACAGTACAATCAAACGTAAGCGTTCTTGTCAAAGTGCTTTGGTGGGGTTTTGTCTGGGACACTGTTGTGGACCTTTGTACGAGAAGACATCACAGATGCAGCTCCATTATATGTGTACCCCCTCCTGAAAAGAAAACAGAATCAACCATGTGTGTCTCACCCCCCGGACATGGAATGTCTCTGCATCCAAGCATTACAGCAACAGAAAACCAGAAGAAATGTATAGGAATGTACCTATAAATATCTGGGGATGGGGCAGGGGGGACACCTTTCTACCCTGTGTGGGCTCATTCTGGTTTGACAGTCCCCCTCCAGCATCTCTCACAAATAATTTCTCTATAAATGTTCACAGCTAAGTAAACTAGGGCACGATCGTAAAATCTTGAGGCTGTGGTGGATGCTAGGAGAATGGTTACTCCCTCCAGCTGTGTCTCTTTACTGTCACCCTCTTCTGCTGCTGGAGGTCTCACTGCCACCACAGCCATTCTTCACCTCTCACTTTTCATCTGGTGATCTGCGATTAGAAAAACTTGTCAGATCACTTTAGAGGTGTGAATAGATCACTTTTCCTACATCACTGAATGCATTTTTTTTTTCCATCTGTAGTAAACTTATGAAGTATATATAACACAAGTATTTGTTCTGAGTCAATAGCTTTTCTTAATATTCTGTCCATTATTAATGTAATTATCTTTAAATCCCATTATTTTCTTTCATCTACACAATCTTTTTCTGAACCTCACTACAAAGTTTTTTTGAAAAGCAATCCAACATACAGCAGGTACAAATGCACTCGAATCGATTTCTTTCCATAAGTACAACTTGTTTACCTTGGAGAATTACTGTTTTCAGCTATAGAGAAGCAGAATATACTGCCACCAATTATGCAGAGTGAAGCTCCAGCCCATCCAATGAACAATGCTGCTCCTAATTCATACCTAAAGGAAGTTAATAAATGGGTTTAACAAAAAACAGCATTGATTCAACAGGATTTTTTTCAGAATAAAAGATCTAAATTTTATTTTTTCCTGAATTACTTTCCATTGACATACACATCATTCACTGCAGACTCAGCAGCTCTGCCATTCGCCCACCTTCTTATTTCCCTCTCACCCAGGGACACTCCATCCCAGCAGGACACTTGGGCAATGCTTATCTCCCCACGCAGCCTGCTGGGGTGCCTGGATTGTCCACATCTGAACTGCATGGCCGTGGGGCTACGAGATCCTTTGGCCCATGTACAGAGCACAGCTCCTGTCCCCTCGGACCATCTCAGGTTGGCTCCTGAGCTGGACCGAGGCTTTCACTGAGCCAGCAGCTAGAGCTGCTGCCCACAGCTCTCCTTAACTATCCCCTCTTTCTCTCCCCTCCCATTTCTCTTTCTCCCTACGCATGCTCCAGCCTGTTGAAAACATGAGGGTTTTATGTGTGTCCATCTGACATGCATGTCTATAGCCACACACACGTGGAACACACGTGGACATGCAGTGATGCACACACATGCACATGCTGGAAGATACGGCTCCTCTCAGAGCCCTCAGAGCTCCAGGTTACCAGCAACGGTCCTTCTGTTGGGACCAGGTCCAGAAACTGCTCGGTTTGACCCTGAGAGGAGATGGTGGTGCTTCAGGAGCACTGTGACACAAGGGTGAGCCCAAGTTTCTAAAGCAACAGTAGTAAAGGAAGGGCAAGAAAGGCATGGGGAGGAGATTCTTTTCCTCCTCCTTCTCCAGATCAGTGCCCATAACCTGAGCTCTGGAGCTGCAAGACAAGCAGCAAGCCATGGCTGCCACTTCTCTGCTCCATTCCCCAGTCTCTGCCTGAGGTACTGCTCTTTAAAATACTTCAAGGATGATCTGCATTAGACCACAGGCTCAGCAGTCTCCGGAGTCTCATATCCCTCGCTCTTAGGACTGACTGTGTGTCTCTTGCTCCTTCCTCCCTGCTCCAGCTCCTCCTTGAGGAGAGCTTTATCTCCTGCTGACCCCCAGGACCCTGCACTGAAAACACAGGCCCCCGTCCCCCACCCAGCCGCAGTTACGATGGGGTGGCTGCGCTCTTCCAGCCTTTGCTGGTACGTTTCTTTATTTACTGTAAGCTCTGGTGGGGCAGCCAAATGAAAGGCTCTGTGTGGCAGCTGCCTGCACAATGGGAAGACTCGGCAGCTGCACAGTTATCACCTACTTCTGAACATCTCCATGTGAACAGATCCTCATTTCCCATTAGAGATGGCATCCAGAGGCTCCAGACGTAGGCCCATATGAACCTCAAGAGGTCCCAGAAGTCCAAGTGCAAGGTCCTGCACCTGAGTCAGGGCAATTCCCGGTGTCAATACAGGCTGGGGAATGAAGGGATTGAGAGCAGCCCTGTGGAGAAGGACTTGGTGGTACTGGTGGGTGAAAAACTGGACATGAGCCAGCAGTGTGCACTCACAGCCCAGAAAACTGTATCCTGGGCTGCACCAAAAGAAGCATGGCCAGGAGGTCAAGAGAGGTGATTCTGCCTCTCTGCTCTGCTCTGGTGAGAACCCACCTGGAGTCCTGCACCCAGCTCTGGAGTCCTCAACACAAGAAGGACATGGACTTGTTGGTCCAGAAGAGGACCATAAAACTGATCAGAGAGATGGAACATCTCTCTTATGAGGACATGCTGAGAGAGTTGGGGTTGTTCAGCCTGGAGGAGAGAAGGCTCCGGGAAGACCTCACTGCAGATTTCCAGTATCTAAACAGGGCTGATAAGAAAGATGGAGACAGTCTTTTTAGCAGAGCCTGTTGTGACAGGACAAGGGATAATGGTTTTAAACTAGAAGAGGGTAGATTTAGACTAGGTGTAAAGAAGAAATTTTTTACAGTGCCAGTGGTGAAACACTGGCACAGGTTGCCCAGAGAGGTGGTAGATGCCCCATCACTGGAAACAATCAAGGTGAGGTTGGACAGGGCTCTGAGCAACCTGATCTAGTTCAAGATGTCCCTGTTCACTGGGGAGGCGGGGGGTGGTGGTGTGTGTGTGTTCAACCAGATGACTTTTCAAGGTTCCTTCCAACCCAAGACATTCTATTATTCTATGATTCTAACATGACAATGCAGAAACACTCAAAAATTGCCTGTGAGCATCCTGAAAAAATACAGCAACCTCTCTAGTAGGTCACAAGAGCGTGAACAGCAGCTGGAGAACAAAAAATCACTTTTCCATGTTTTTTAACTGGAGGTAAAGCACAGACTTAAAAAAAGAAATCACACAGGGAGAAAAAGCCACACTTAGTATACCAGTGCCAGATGCTATGGCCACCCAGGTTCAAGTAATTTCGGACTCAGGGACTTACTGCCAAAAAGAGATGGAGACATTCGAGTTCAGTGGTAGGACACTTCCTGAGGCCTGCACTCGACTATTCATGGCCCTGCTAGTGCACTAACTTCTAGGCTTTTCAAGAAAAAATTTTCTATTTTCATCAGCTAAGCAGAATTAGTTATTTATTTATTCTTGCTAAAAAAGGATCAGACTCCCTGAAACATTCTCCATAACCAGTGTGGGACTTAGGCACCACAGCCCAAAATTGAACTGCTGGAAACCATAGCTCATTTGCCTTTCACCCTGGAAAACTCTGCATCCAGCCCCATTTGACTTCAAAATCTGCCAAACTTCCAAAGCTTTAATTCTAACTGTGCTTACACTTCCAACCACAGCTACAGTTTTGACAAGACGAGCAGATTTCTGTCTTTTCAGAGACTGGAGGTTCTCTGATCAGAAGCACCTACCTACATCAGAGCTCATCAACCATGTTCCTGTTACAAAAAGCACCCAAGAAATACAAAGTACTCTTCTAGAACACCTTCAAGACACCTCTTCTAACGAGCTGCACGGGCAGACCCACAGCGACTAACTCTGATGTGACACCAGCCCTATCCTGGGGATCCCCCCACCCCCACAGGTACTGCCAGAGCACACCTTAGCTACATGGACCAGGGGTAGGTGGTCAGTGCAGACCACCACGGTGCTGGAGGACACAGCTGGACCAAGGTCCAGGAAGCCTCCGGCCGTAACCACTTACTTTCCAAGATCATCCACCTAGAAAGGGAGAAACACAAGTTTGTTCCACATTTCCATCTAGCACGAAACGGTTGCCCAGAGGCTAATGTGAGAGAGGTAAGGAGACCAATTGCCACCTCCCCTCCTAAAGCTCTTCAGTTGTATAGAGAAGAAATCAAGGTTTAATTGGGCAGAAAAGGGTTACCTGACTGCTGCCTACCAGTTGGGAAAGAAGACATGGGGTCTGGCCTTTGTTCTTGGGATTGATTGTACTTTTTAAGCAACGTTTGTTACCATAACATGCATAAACAGATTGCATATATGGACTCGTGACTGCCACACCACTAAGTTAATGAGTTGCAGAGCTGGGTTAATTGGTCTTTCTTCCACATCTTTAAACAGATAAAAACACTTTCTGATTTACACTGGTGCTTATGAGGAAAATTTTGAAGTTTCAGTTACATATCAACCTGTGTACAGCTCCCTGGGTTTTATCCAGTCCATCTTTTCAGCCTTTGAGAAGCCAACCTAACCTCCCATCAAAGTCCAGTATGTTAAAAAAAATCCCTTACCATATAAAAAAAATCCTTACATACATTGTTACCTTCAGGTAAAAAGAAAGAAAAAAGAAAAAGGAGATACGTTTTTTGGAAGACATTTCTGCATTTGGTGTTTTTCCCTTCCCTCTTTATCATTAAAATCTTTGTAAGAATCACACTCTTCTGTTCTTAGAATTCTTGGTTACAAGAACCAAAGCAGCCACTCTCTGAAGTCTGTGGCTGTGTACCCACTGTCTCCCAGTCAGTGAAACCAATCTGATCAGAGATCACCTAGAGATCACTGGCAGCTCGGGGGGGGAGCAGGATGGTGGTGAAGGGGCTCAGAGGTGGTGACCACTGAGGACTGGAAGAATTCCACTGCAGAGAACAGAAAGCCACCTTCAACTACACTAACCAAGCAGGATAAAAGCAGATTTTTTTTGCTGTAATCCAGGGAGGCAGAACTCAGTGAAAGGAAGAAAGTACACTATCAGTATAGAAGAAAAATACTCCGTTTTTTACACACATTAGGACCATAGTGTAAACTTCCAAGCAAACCTGTGGAAGTTTCATTAGCTGACTAGATGTTGGCAAATGTAAAAAACATACCTACCAACCTACCAAATCAGCGCAACTACTCAAGGGAAATACACATTTTTAAAGTCTAATTTTTACAGATTGGGGAAAATGAAAAACAGATTCAAATGTAGACATGTGACAGTGGAAAAAGGGCCTTTGTGAACTGTGCACAGTCTGCTCAGAGACAAGAAAGCTAAAGGGAAACAATTCTCTAAGAAAGAGAACGGGAAGTTAGATAATTTGGATAAACTATCCCCATTCATCAGTAAGAATGATCATGATTATGGAGTTCAAACTGTAGCAAGGGACAAAAAGGATAATTTTTAAAATTAGAAGTAGTGAAGTGATGAAACAGCTTCCTATTTTTTTATAGGAAGTTTTATGGTGTCCCCGTGGTGCCTGTCACGCCTCACTGAGGTACATAATTCAAACCAGAAGTCTCTGGGGCAACAGCTTTAGGCAGGTCTCTGACTCCCCCTCTTGCACCCATACACAGTCAAGGTGCCTCTTCCAAATGCAGAAGGCTGCAGGGAAAATCTGATGACTGAGATGATGCTAGACATCTTCCGTTGTTTCTCTTCCACTAACGGTACCATAAACATGTCCTTGACACCACCAGAATGACTTCATGAGAGAAACGTGCAGTAACAGGTGAAAGGCTGGAACCCTCTCCCAGTGAAGAGCCAATGCAAATTTCCACAATACACCAGCAAAGCCTATTGAAGGCTTCTGCACTGCACCTCAAAGCAGGAGTTCACGGACAGCAAGGAAATGCATCACTCCAACATGCAAGAGCTACATACACTGTGAGCAACACAAACCACAGCTTCTGATCTCCCTCTCTGCCCTCATCTTCAGACTCGTGCCTATGTGTGCCCACAGCTGAGCTTCGCTGGCTGTCTGGGAAAAAGGTAATTTCTGTAGAGGATGTTTTACTACCTTTATTTCGATATTTAAACTGGATTTCTCCTTCCCTTGAAACTGCGGGGAGCTCTGCCTGCTCTTTGCAATACCAGAGGATAGAAGCAGTATAGAGAAGAGAATACTGGCAACAACCATGGTATTTCTTGCTAGAAATAGTACGCCTGATGAATAATTAACTTCTGGCTATATAGCCAGGCTCCATTTTCTCCACCGTACCTCACATCCTTGTTTCTCTTGGAGGCCTTTTGATCCTGTCCTCAGGAAACTATCGCAGAATTACGGAGGAAACTAAAATGAACTTGTTTTCAAGACAGGAGAAGCAGTGCCAGCCCTAATGCAAGCATGGATCTAGTTCATGTGATTGATTCGGGACATTTTCTTTCTATCAAGGAGAAACAGAAAATCTCAGTGTTCCTTACTGAGCCCTTACTTGGGTCTCAGGGGAATGTACACCCAACGCTTCACATATCCTGGAAACACCATCAAGAAAACTTTGAAATCCTTGCCTTTAAAGATAATGCTACATGATGCAAGAAGCCAAAACAGGAAAGTCTATGATCCTATAATTTAGAGCCAGTGTTTTCAGGCTTGGTAGTTAAGATGTGAATCCAAAACCCAAGCATTGTTTCATGAATTGCTGCTTTTGTAGGTCTTAAGAACTCACACAGCTTTACAGGGAGCCTTTAGGGATGCTCATTATTTCTGCTACGGATCCTGCAATTCTATAAACACTCACTCCCTTAAATTTAAATTTAAATACAAAGATAGTCAAAGCATTTACGTTAGTGCTTATAAGGTTACGATAAGGTTTATGATCCAAATTTCAGTCATCTGGATTTGAAAATCTCTCAGTAAAAAGTCCCCAGAGCCTGCAGAAACCTCTCTTCAAGAGGCATCAAGATTGCGCAGTGCTGGACACCTTTATGGAAACCACCTTCTGTCAAAAGATTAAGGAAATAAGTTTCTCCCTTTCCTATCAAACGATGTGCCTTATGAGCGGCTCTGTCTTGTGAAATCCTTTTGCTGCACGTCTGACACAAACACAAGCTTCACCTCTGACTAACCCCGTTTGCTCTGCGGCGAGCAGGGCCGAGCCCCGCCGAGCTGCAAGGAGCCTGGGCACAAAGATTGCACAGCACTCGCTCTGCGCCGCATTGTTGGCTCATTAAATCCCAGCACACGCTCACTCCAGTGGGAAAATATCATTCAACAGAACTGCAGCCCACTCTCCTCCTCTGCCCAACAGGAGAAGCCCCTGCTCACTGTTTAAACGGGCTCTGGTGCGCAGCGTGAAACTTAAGGTCTAGGTCTTTGAAAGATTTATGGGTATAGGAAAGTACTTACTTTTGTGCAACAAAAGAAGGATCAAAGAACTCAGACGTAATCCTGTTTGCATACAGGGAACAACTAGTCATAGAGCACAACCCTGAAAAGCATAAGACAAACCATTCAGTGGAGCCAGCAGAAGAGCATCGAGCCTGACCCCGAAGCCAGTCAAGTCATGGAGAACCATGCACGGATTTCTGTGGAAAAGAAGCAGCTCTGGTAGGACTTCAAATACACAAACTTAGAGAAATGAGGCATATTTACCAGAGAGTATGAAAATCAGTCCAGCTAGACAAGCTATTTTTGCTTTAGTCTTGTCGGAGCCTCCGACTTTTGTACACTTCATCCCAATCAGTCCAAACACAGCACCGAAGAAGCCCAGGCAGACAGCAGAGATCATCAGTCCTCTGCAGGCTTGGATGTAACCTGCAGTGAGAAAGAGCAAGGCTAACATGAGAACTGGGGCCACAACGGGTTTCTCTGTAGTTCCTCTCCCACTGCGCAGCGCCTGGCACTCACTATTGCAAACCAACTCAGACCTTGGCTGGAGCAATGTCACCCTACCACTGAGTGTGTTCTTTCAGGTGATGTACGCCCTTCATAGGGCATCTTCACCTGAGCCCAGCTCATAAGAAACATGCTGTGGCATTCAGGGCCGTAAAAAAATAATCCCCTGGCATTTGGTACAACATCTGCAAGAGGTTGTGCCCATTGTTTTTTAAAGACCAACCCCACGTGGTCTGTGCAGCAGCAGGTTGCAGAGTCACTCTGTGCACACACAGCAAGACAGGGGTAAGATGCAATGTGGCTGCCAGCAGGTTTCCAGCACTGACCCTGGCTGGAGATGCAACCAACTGGATTTGGATCTGCCAAGGAGGACCACATTATGCAAGGAAGTCAAACACATGCTCAGCTTCATGGACAGCAGTAGCCCTTCGAGATAAAACAAATCACTGCCATACTTAAGCCTGGACAAATGGCTTTGTGGCTGGCTTTAGCCACACAATTTTGCCATGCTGGCTAAAGCTGCTTTGAGCTGGAGCTCCATGGGCAGGGCCCTTCAGTGGGACAAGTTGCTTGGCCTCTGTTCCCTTCCAAGAATATCTTGTAATTGAAAGGCTGATAAACTCACTGTTTACAGGGTGGACCACTGCAATCTTACACAGCTGAATAACCATCACAAAACGTTTTTCTTCATAACCTGTTGTTACAGCTCATTTAAAATAAAAGTGTGCTACCACTATTAGAGTATTCATTCTTTTTGCTTTGATCTCCAGCCAGTGGAAATGTTGAGAGCTAAAGCACATTTTCATTGCCTATTACACCAAATTTTACATAATAGCAAATTAAAAAAAAAAACAAAACTCAACTACCCTGCATAAAAGTCTTTAACATACAGGAAATGAATATACCAAAACAGGAACTAGAAGGCATCTAATGAAAGCAGAAAGTAGCAGATTCAAATCAAAAGCACATTTGTTCATATAACGAAGTTTTGGAACTCCTTTCCACAGGCTATGTGGATGCTAAAGTTTCACAGAGCTTCAAAAAGAGACTGGGTACATTCATTAAAGAGAAACCTGTGCCTGCCTGGCAGGTCCTTGAGCTGCAGATGGCTACCACTGACACTTGGCTGCCTTCTGCTCTCCTTACTGCCACCCACTTTAGCTGCTGCTGGAGCCGTATCAGCTCCAGGATGACTGCTCCCTCTTTGAAAAACGTTACCAAAACCTCACTAATTCACGGCTTTGTGCAACAAACCCATCTGCTACAGAAACAGAGGGAGCTGATGAAATAACTGTAACCATCTCACATGCTGGAATATACCAGGGAGAATCCCTCATGCAAGACCCACGTCTGACGAAAGCAGTCTTGCTTTGCTAATTTTGCTATCAGCATGGAAAAGTTGCCTTTCACTGGTTTTGGAGACCTGTAATGTATTTCTTGCAGCACACAGGTGAAGTGGGAGATGCAGACTGGCAAGGAAGCTATTATTTTTGACAGGTCCAATTTATTGACACTGTTAGTAGCTAATTGACACATTAAAGTGCTGAACCATGAACATATTTACCCGGAGGTCCTCTAAACTTTTATTTATGTCTGAACCTCCTAGGAGAAACAGTAAATATTCACCCCAACCAAAATAACCAGCATATGCTAAGAACCACTGGGCTGAAATTCAGCTGTTCCTGAAGGTCAATACACAGTTTTAGAACAGGTAGAGGGTAGTGAGACAGCAAGAAATAATTAACTCACCCACCCAGAAATCATTTTCAATTATAAACAGCATGAGCTGGAGGACTGCTCAGTTCTGCTGAATGAATAACCTTCCTCACTAAATATTTCACTAAATTGGGCAGGCCAGCCATGGTGGGACCTGTTTCAGTTCACTGCAGTAATCATCCAACTGGCACACAGTTTTAAAAGAAAAGATATTTTAAAAAATCACAATCTACCCCAGTAAAATGGAAGAGCAGAACCCTCTATTAGTCCCATTAGGTTGACTGGAGCATTAGAAGGCATGAAAGAGAGAAATCAACCTTTTCACCCAATCCAGCCTCCTATTGCTTGGACCCTAGGCTAAAACTATGTATAGCATTTGGCTGCAAGAGTAATTAAACTTCTTCTTTGCTTCCTAGAAAGCAAGATCATGGCATTGCTTACCAAGGCTTACAATGCAGAGGAGTGTAAAGGGGAGCTGCCCTCAACTCCTCAACTCAAACCAAGGACCATCCCCTTTCCAAATGTTTATTATCTGTATTTCCAACAGCTCCGGTGGGAAGCTTGTCATGGACACATTAACCACCCAGCTGAAGCTCCCAAGCAACAAAAAGCTGTATATTTTAAACAGATAAGCAGACAAACATGCATTACTCATAAAGTCATGTTTAGCAGCATTCCAAGAGAAACCTATTTCAAGCTGTTTTTTTTTTCTTTAAACAAATGTGTTTTGTCTTGCATTCAAATTAATCTTGTTAGATCTTCATCTTGCTTCACTGCTCTCACGCTTGCCTCTCATGCTCACAAAGAGTTAGGAGGAATTCCTATTATATATATCATATGACAGTCAGAAAAAAAATACATGCAAAGTTCTGAGGATTGTCACTTTCACAATAAATGTCTCTCGTGGTATCCTGCACTCTGCATCACATGAAGTATAAGAGGTTGTCTTACAGATACAACACAGATTTCTTCTGTAAGCACATATCTATTGCTTTTGTGTGTTTTTCTAAGCCCTAAAACCCTCTTTCAGCTCATAAGTAAATTGTTGTTCAGCTCTGTTCTTGCGAAAGGTCATCAGATCCACCATTGGAAACATGGAAACTGATATGTCCTCTTTTGTGGAGGTAGTTTCAACACTAAGTTTCCACCTATGACTAACAGCCCACAAAAGTAAACCCAAAATGATTGCAAGTCCCACAGACAGCAAGAATATCTTTGCTTGCATCCAGATTGTGGGACTGAGGCCTTAAGGAGGGCTGGCCAAAGTGATTTCTTGTATAGGAATGCATAAAGGTAGAAAGGCATCACATCCAGTGTGCTCTGGTGGCTGCTTGTGTGAAGTGACGGCCTGAAGGCCACCGGGGCAGCCCCACTACTGTGCCACCCCACAGCAATCTGGGGGGCACGGTCCAAGACCACTCCAAGACGCAAACCAAAACAACAGTAATGGGGAACTATCTCTGGAGCACTCCTGACCCAAACTATGACACAGCTTATGAAGAAGGAAGGACTTCTGCACCCCACAGGAGAGCCTCAGCAACCGGCGTGGCCATGCCTTGATTTCCTACCCCCTTGTTTTATCTCTGATCCCCTGGCAGACCTGAGAGGTCTCTTCAGACAAGAAATCCAGCAAAACTCAGAGGGTTCCCATTTGACATAAAACATTTCCATAGAACAGGAACTGCTCTGAGAGGCAAATCTCTCCAGCTACATGAGGAAGGAGTGGAGCAGAGCCACCTGTCCCAGGGACAACAGAAATATTTCCAGGAATTTCTCAGTCCTGCCCTACCATTTTGAGAGCAACGCATTATCACTACGTGCAACTCTCTAAGCCAGACATGCCCTTTTTTGTGTTTTCCAAGTCACCCACCCGAGGATGGAGTGAGGAAGTTCCCACGTTACCCATCGTGGGGAATGGGATCCAGCTCACCCACCTAAGTCTGTGCAAAGAGGGAGAGGACAGAAGGGAGAGGCTACTTGAGGGCTGAGGCAGACTTGGCTCCAGGCTGACATACCGATCCCTCCAGGCTATGCGTGAGGCTTGGCACCTCCTGCACGGGGAAGGCCTGGGGTGAAAAGGGGACGTACACACCCACTGCCAGGCACTAGTGGGTTCCCAGCAAAGCCCGTCACCGCAAGCAGGGGAGCCTGGGCTGGGCTAGGCTAGCTCCCCAAAGCAGTTCTGGCTGTGGTGGCTGCCCCCCTGCCCCAACCCAGCCTGCCTGGCCTCTGCTGTGGGCATTACTTTACTCTCTCCCCAGCCTGCCTGTCATTCACATCGTGCCTGGGTACCAGGATCTGGCCCTACAGTGTCTATAGATAGTACTGAGAAACACTGAAGCCAAGAACCTCCCCTAACTGATAAACAGTGTCAGCAGAAGGATGGGATAAGGCCCTTCCAGATGTGCATTTTGGATTAATTTCTGTCCAAACTGAGTTAGGATAGCTGATTCACTGTGCAGAAGGTGCCTCAGAAACGCATTCCTTGGGCAAGTGTAACGTGCTACCCAACACACAAGGTTTAAGTGCACAAGAGTCTGGAGGAAGGGGTGGCAAGGACTTTGCTGCCAGGTTTCTTCTTCTTTTTGTAATTTTAAATGTTCCCAGTTCTGCACACTTTGTAACTATGCTTTTCTTACTCTGAAAGCAGACTAACCCCAAACTAAAAGAACAGCTAAATAATAGGTTAGGTTGATCTGAAAGGTTACGCACTGATGATCACTCTGTGCCCTCCTGCACACAGACCACAGCTCCTTGCCCAAGCCTGGAAACCACATTCTTAGCTGCTACACTTGGTCACAGGGTGACTGATACCAACCGAGGCCAGCCAGCTCCCCCACCCCTTCAGAGGAACCAGCAAAGCCCTATGCCACCGTGGGGCTGGGTCAAAAACAGGTCTGGGGAAAGGTACTTCTTCACCCGAGAAAGCATCTTGCAGTAGCGATGCTAAAGGGTTCCCTATGTTACCACTTTTTAGTATCTTGACCTCTTTTAGCCCTTTGTACATAAAGAGGTTAAAGGTTTTCTGATATTTGTATTAATTAGCTTCACAATATTAATCTCTGTTATGATACTCTTACTCTCTGATAGTGATTTGATTAACGGCTTCTCTTCTCCTTTCAAACAAACACTTCACACAAAAATCCACTCTCAGACTCCAGTAGAAAGGGAAAGTCTGGCTCTGAACGGTAGGCCTGATTTTTTGTGAGTATCAAAGC